GTTAAAATCACGTTCTAATTGAATAAAGAAGCAAATCTTTTTTGTTCTATTACCGAGAGTTTCAATGATAGCTCAGAATTGATTGGCTACATCATTGTGACATTTGGTTAATAGGTTTACAGTATATAATCCTATGTATCGGAAACCAGGATAGCGTGTCATTTTGTTGTAACTGTTTCAATAATTACATGAAAGGTCACTTATGGTGGATAAAACGCCCTACACTCGGGAAGCTCTTACCGATAATAGTCCAATGATACGAGAACAAATTATTACAAGTAACAATATCAATTCAGTCACACCAACAACTGTATTATCACATTCGTACATTAGTAAATATTTAGAAGTAATGGAGGCATACACAGTTTACCGTACAGACAGAAGTTCTGGGAAACATAAATGTCCGTTACTGTTGCTTCTTTTAACAGATTGTACAAAAGTGAAGCGAATAGTACTTTTTAATAAAAATTCTGAATCATAAACTGCAGCATACATATGTTAAACGGAACGAATGTCTAGTGGTTGATAATGAATTATGTAAAATATACACACACACACATATATATATATAAAACACACTAGATTCACATTAGTGCTATACACATTGTGTCTTGAAATCACTTCGCCTTTCCATTATCAGCCTTACATCATAGTATAATGGACCTTACCCTTCTCAGTTTGCTCTGATCTGAAAAACAGTTTACATGTCTACGTTAATGCATATATATCAAACTTATTTATCTATTTTCTTTGTTTTTTGATCTTATTTGTTTACTTATATACGTCAATACTTTACGTCTTTTCACATAGAATATTTCCACTTAAAACATCACTCAGTGATATGTTTATGTTACTTGACGACGAGCGATATAACTTTGCCTATTATTATCAGGATGTAAATTCTTTATCCTTTTATCCTCAAACATCACCGAAACGTGCTTGACATATGATAGAGCTGTTCGATGCCATATTTGGTATGTAGTTCTAAATAGGGTTCTCTTGAGAAAGACATACGTTATCTGATACGTTACAGCACTGGTGCGCCAATAAACATTATATTGCATAACAGCATTGTACAGAAGTCCTATCTATAGCAGCACTGTACAGAAGTCCTGTCTATAGCAGCACTGTTCAGAAGTCCTGTCTATAACAGCACTGTACAGAAGTCCTGTCTACAGCAGCACTGTGCAGAAGTCCGGTTTACAGCAGCACTGTACAGAAGTCCTGTCTATAGCAGCACTGTACAGAAGTCCTGTCTATAACAGCACTGTACAGAAGTCCTGTCTATATCAGCACTGTACAGGTCCGGTCTATAGCAGCACTGTACAGAAGTCCTGTCTATAGCAGCACTGTACAAAAGTCCTGTCTATAGCAGCACTGTACAGAAGTCCGGTTTACAGCAGCACTGTACAAAAGTCCTGTCTATAACAGCACTGTACAGAAGTCCTGTCTATAGCAGCACTGTACAGGTCCGGTCTATAGCAGCACTGTACAGAAGTCCTGTCTATAACAGCACTGTACAGAAGTCCTGTCTACAGCAGCACTGTGCAGAAGTCCGGTTTACAGCAGCACTGTACAGAAGTCCTGTCTATAGCAGCACTGTACAGAAGTCCTGTCTATAACAGCACTGTACAGAAGTCCTGTCTATAGCAGCACTGTACAGGTCCGGTCTATAGCAGCACTGTACAGAAGTCCTGTCTATAGCAGCACTGTACAAAAGTCCTGTCTATAGCAGCACTGTACAGAAGTCCGGTTTACAGCAGCACTGTACAGAAGTCCTGTCTATAACAGCACTGTACAGAAGTCCTGTCTATAGCAGCACTGTACAGGTCCGGTCTATAGCAGCACTGTACAGAAGTCCTGTCTATAGCAGCAGTGTACAGAAGTCCTGTCTATAGCAACACTGTACAGAAGTCCTGTCTATAGCAGCACTGTACAGAAGTCCTGTCTATAGCAGCAGTGTACAGAAGTCCTGTCTATAGCAGCACTGTACAGAAGTCCTGTCTATAGCAGCAGTGTACAAAAGTCCTGTCTAACATACTTACTCATATACTCATAAAACATAATAATGATAAAATGATAATTTATGATAGTTTCACAGTTTCTGGTATAGTTTTTTTTATTTGACTATCCTTTAAGTTCAGGATATGGTGATGCAATGTTATGTCGCGTTTATTTCTCTGATTTACTTATATCTGGTTATCTTTGATATATATACCGGTCGTCCTTCTCCACATGTTTTGTGCTGGTGATTTCTATCAGATCACCGTTCAGACATCGCCTTTGATTGATGTCATCCAGTATGTCCTACATCTTGTACAAATGTCTGTACACATGTATGTATTTGGCTAATTCTAGAAATGTACAGATCAAAAAGAGACGGGGACAACTGTAACTGTAATATATACACCATACAAACGAGAGGCACTTAAATAACAAAGATTAACAATGTATAACAATGTTAGAACGAGAGGCACTTAAATAACAAAGATTAACAATATATAACAATGTTAGAACGAGAGGCACTTAAATAACAAAGATTAACAATATATAACAATGTTAGAACGAGTGGCACTTAAATAACAAAGATTAACAATATATAACAATGTTAGAACGAGTGGCACTTAAATAACAAAGATTAACAATATATAACAATGTTAGAACGAGTGGCACTTAAATAACAAAGATTAACAATATATAACAATGTTAGAACGAGAGGCACTTAAATAACAAAGATTAACAATATATAACAATGTTAGAACGAGTGGCACTTAAATAACAAAGATTAACAATGTATAACAATGTTAGAACGAGAGGCACTTAAATAACAAAGATTAACAATATATAACAATGTTAGAACGAGAGGCACTTAAATAACAAAGATTAACAATATATAACAATGTTAGAACGAGTGGAACGAGTTAGAACGAGAGGCACTTAAATAACAAAGATTAACAATATATAACAATGTTAGAACGAGTGGCACTTAAATAGCATAACAAAGAATTACAATATACAACAATGTCGTTAATTATAGTGTTATTTGATACTTCAACGCGTTTCAGTAGGTCCTGCACTAAACCAGTAGTTTCGTTCATATATAAAAGTTTTTGCTGTATCAGAAGGAAAGTGCAATGGTTAATGATATCATATCATTATGAGTAAGTTGATGTGACTTGTCACTATCGTATTTGTTGTCTATAGGTGAGAGATCCTACCTGTAACATATAATGTACCATATACTGTACCGTTATACAGGTACCAATCAACACCTACTGATCTTTGTCATACTTATGTTGATGTTTCTGGTGTAATGTAACATCTCCGGATGTTTTCATAATTCAATAAATTGGCCAGACTCTGAAAAAGAGATCTTTCAGTAAAATGTCTGCTGAAAATTATTTATCATAAACACTAACTAATCAAACAATAAGTTACAAACTCCACTAAACATTGACCTTTAAACAAATACAGTAAGTTATACTTAGCTACATAAGATAATATTAATTTAAATGAGATTTTGAAACGAGTTACACAATATCCATTTTTTTTGGGTCTGTAACACTCATCCTATAAACTGGAAACGGTTTTTACAAATATTCCGGAAAACGGGTTTTCCCATATCATTCTTGACCTTTCCTGGTCTTCTGTCCGTTTTTCCAGGTAATCCTGGTTCCCATCCAAATGACATTTAAATCCATGAAATATTTCTCCGAGTCATACGAGCCACTTTTTGTTCAGAAACATCGCAGCATTAAGATATCATATATAATAATACCCTGCTGTTCCAAAGGCTACACTATCATTTCAAACATTTTAATCCAAAAACATCACCCTAACGCATGGGCCTGACGACGATAAAATCGAAAAGAAATTTCATGTGTTATATATAAACGCTGTATTTATATTACGGCACGGATGTTAGGACTATAATTCTCATTCTTGAAAATGAGTATGAGACGATACGTTCTGATGCATAACAGCAATAGCTTATCGGTATGGGAATCGCCATTTTTAAAATTTTCTATAGATCACTAGCTTGTCCATTTTGCTGACGCAGATTTCAGCGACAGCAACCTTCAGTAATCTGTTTTGGGGTCGTAAACTACAGCAACTTTACATGTCCCTCCCGTTGCAATAATAATAATAATAACACACAAATTAAATAAGTATTCATATTTATAAGTTTTGTGTAAATGACCAAATCCACTATACGACAAGTGATATGAGTGCATATATTAACAAAATAAGATGATCTGACCACAAGGGGACACTGTACACTTTTTATTTGCCGAAATATACGCGATTAAAATTGTGAGGAGTGATCCCTTTATGAACGTCGCAAGGTACTTCTTGATAGGTGAAAGTATGGTGTAAGTATATGTAACTACACTGGTACCTTAGTTCAGAAAAAGGCAGTCTGTGGGACCTATATACGAGGAGCTTGAAATCAGCTTTGTAGGGAAGATATCGTGATCATTTTTGTTACATTTCCACTCAACCAAGCAAAAGAGTTTTGTTAATATAAACATAGGCTTTAACTAAGATAACAGACTTGTGATAATAGTAGTAGTAATAATTTGTCAACCATTTACGTATGCGAAAATTATATGAACGATTCTTTTTATATGTAAATAGTTAACACTAGTTTGTTTTCTTTCAGTGAGAGACCTTGGGGATACCAATGCCATTCTAAATTAAGTGACTGGTTTTTGGAACAATTCTGTACCGAGAAACATCAGCTGAAGGAAAAGACATAAACATAAATTGGGATTCTGAGTAACGAAGATTTAATCCATTGTGGAAGTCGATCTATACCACTATGCAAGGATCGGATCTAGACAGTTTGCGAACGAAAAATGTCACGGAGAAAAGGTTTCCTGGGCCTGTAAAATGACAATGAATGCTACTTATTGTTGTTGTACATGATACACATTTGTGAAAAAGATTCCCTTGCACCATGTGGATCTAACAATATAATATATTATGAACAATTAAACATGGCCGAGATATGTATCCAGACATCGAATGAACAGAGCATAGAACCGCGTTACATATCTACAAGAAATAACATGACTTTGAACTCGTCAATCGGGAATCCTTTAAAGGATTTCGGTATTCCCGAAGAATTTCAGTTTATACTGCTCCTGCTATACGCCATAACATGTATGGTCGTGTTGCTAGGTAACAGCGTCATTTGTTACACGACTTACAGAGTGCGAAGCTTTCGAACAGTCACCAATTTCTTCATTGTCTGCCTTGCTGTTACAGACGTTGTAATGACAGTAATGTGTGTCCCCTTCTCTATCCTCAGTAACCTCTTTTTCCATTACTGGCCGTTCTGGAGTTTTCTCTGTCCCATTGTCGGGTTTGTACAAATGGCCAGTGTGTTATGTAGATCGTTTATGCTGGTCGCTATAACCTGTGACATGTACCACGCGGCCACAAAGCCTCTGAATCCACGCCTCACCACGTCTCGTGCCAAGCTGATGGTAGCGTTGATATGTGCCTTGTCTTGTTTGATAGCACTTCCGTCATCAATCTACTCCACTATTGAGTACTTACCGTATGAGCCTGGATCTAAAGGTCTGTGTATTGAGAAATGGCCTGACGACTATGTCCGAGGTATATATGGTATTTGTATTATGATGCTTCAATACTTCATTCCTCTGATCATCATGGTCTTTACATATATACACATCGGAATCATCATCTGGATCAAACGAACTCCGGGAGAGGCTCACAGTCGCAGGGACCAACGACTTGCCAGCTCTAAAAGGAAGGTAAAGTAGACCAATTGCTGTAAGTCGTGAACCCCCGTTACATTCAATGTAATCTTAGTTACACTTACAGCGACCATAACCAGCTGATTAGTCATTGCATGATTGTGGAACACAATTTGGCTGTTTCTGGTGTTCGCAGGTGCGAGGTGCTTTTTCAAGGGGTGGGGCGTTTACATATACACGTTGTAGACTACGACCAGATCCGTTCTAATCCCTTCCTAAACGTAGTGGGTCAGGGTGATTGGAAACTAAACCCATGATGCAGCCGATCCACAACGATAACAAGACTGTATTACGTTCTATGGTGATAATCTGGTCACATCAGTGCTGTTCAACCATGACTGAGCGTGGCGCGCGCGTGGTTAGCGACGGCAGTACGTTTCTTTAAGTTTACACTACAGTCTAGTTTAACGTCGATGTTGTAACACAAAATCGATGTACTCCATGACCATTTTTCAACTTGCCAAAAAACAACAAAAAATATCAACATGTCATCATAATCCTAATTCAAATTTAAAACCTTATGGTAAAATATGAACAAAAGAAAGATTGACTAAGAGACTTTTGCAAAATTACTGAGGTATTAAGACAAGGTTATTCGGAAGAATAACAGTCTTCTACTTCGTCGACGACATCCATGTAAACTTTGGTCAATCCAAGTAAATAATGTCACGTTCTCAAATGATAACAAGGTATACAACAACGAAATCAACACACAAACGAGCATCTGTTATGTTCATAGTGCAAACGAACGTTGTGTTGCTGTGTTCGGTGTTGCGGGGGTTACTTACGTCTAGACGGGGTGAGAACGTACATAACTGGCTAGTGATTTATCTATAACCCTGGTCACACCTGGACACACCTGGACACACCTGGACACACTGCCTGATACGTTCTTATCATCATCAATACTCCAGAGTTGCGCTTACTATCGCTCACTACACCCTAGAATTCTTCATGGCAAAATTGTAGGTTACATGTGCGACATCTTGTGGATAACAAAAATAAGGCTACTGCGATCCTTTTAATTACGATAAACGAATCTCGTGGTCACATAACGGTATATTGTACTGGCTTTGTAGTCTTATAGGAACGCATCACTCCGTGATTGGTCTTTTCTCTCCCCAAATCCACCCTAGACCAATCAAATTACTGCGTTTGTGCCTTCAATATTGCCATGAAATTTTATTCCAGGTTTGCAGAGAGCGAAAGTGATCATAACCTTTGGAGCAAAGATGATGCGTTGTTGTAAAACATGGGTACTCTTTGAGCAACGCTATCGGAACATTATGTAAACTTGAGGAATCCTGGCTGATCATAGCGACTCGTGGGAATTCTACGGTAGTCCGACAGCCACCACATTCACTTTGAACTGTACACACTACAGAACGTTGTCCATTTCTAGACCGTGTCTATTCGCACTTTGCTCTTTACGGATATATACGTTCTAGGAATCGTACACGCGCCGCCACAACCACTTTGAACAGTTGATGTGTAAGAAAATAATCCTACACCCGTACTTCATATATATGTCATAATGGTGAGCTGTTATGGACAGCAGCCATGATGTTGGAATAGACACGGTTGAATACATGTTGTGGTTAGTATCTATTCTACATGGTTGATTGAATCTGTTTTGTGTTACCTCATCAGAATCGTACTTAGGCAACACATCAAAATTAAACTTTGTACTACAACGTATAGTAATAGTTTCACAATAGTTTTCTCTCCACAGTGTTCACCATATAGATATTAACTAATGTGATTCCTTATAAAGTCCGTCTGTATCAGATAACGTGCATGTATGGACCTTGTTCCTGGGTAGAGTGATGGTGATGTACTTGGTGTCATATTTCCTGATAGTGCAACCAGTACAATATATGACATCTGAAGGTGAATGACCTTCAAATTTCCCTACATTGAGGATCATCAGCTGCTGATCGTAACGAATAAAAAACTTTCCAAACTGACAAATCAGATATATTTTTCAATAATCAGTACTGTAAAGAAATTTGAAGTTAGTGACTACGGCTTTAAATGTCCGGTCAGATCCTCTCGTTTTTGAACGATTGGAAACTCACATAATTTAGTTCACTGAAAGAAATGTTCTTTTCTTCTATGTCCATTTATGGTAAAATTACATCGCTTTGAGGTCTTTCACACTTTAACATCCCAACCAGTTTTGAGATCTTGTAAACCAATGGAAAGGAGACAACTCGTGCAGAATATGGCGGAGTTACATGGAGACATGATGTTTCAGTTTCCTGGGGGAAATTCGATGTTCTAGCTTCCCGTCAGATGTTTTTTAATAGATACTAAAGAAAAGTATGGTAATATGCATTATTTTGTTTCTTTGTTTCAGACAATCAAAATGATCATCGTTGTCGTCATCGCATACCTTTTGTCATGGTTACCACTCCATGTGATCACAATCGTAGGAGACCTGGACCAATCTATTTTTAACTCACCGTACGTACATATGACGTGGCTTATTTCCCACTGGCTAGCGTTCAGTAATTCAGGCGTCAATCCGGTGATATATTACTGGATGAACTCAAAATTTCGACACAACGTGCTCTCCTGTCTTCGTGTGGCATGTTTCTGCAAAGGAAAGCGACGAAAGCGCACGGTTAACATGGACGCTTCATACGTGAAATCTGGTAGACATGAAACCGGTGTTACAGTGACGTCATACCATTGTTCTACGCCCTCTCCGTGTGAAATAAAGGACAGGAGATTTTTCTGTGATAGTGGATTAAGAGATGACTGTGTTAAATGTGACAGAGTGTAGAGTTGACGTCTTTCCGACAAAAGAAGACAATCACATGATATTATTTATTGATATTCCAAGAAAAGCCTGTAATTCATCATCAGAAAGATGACTATCTACAGAATGGCAGAAAGATTCCATTGATTATACGGTCATAATGCCGTTACTAGATATTCTGTTGTTATTGAAGTTACTGAAAACAAAAAATTAAAAATTCTTTTATCAATTATACAACATATAAATTTGTATTCCCAGAGACGTGTTTGAAATGATATGGCAAATTACAGCATGTTGTTTCAGTTTACAACGGCGCTGATATTTTCTTACCTGAGTGATGGAACGCATAAACCTAACGAAACGTAAAAAAATGTATAATATCAATGATCACATGACCAGGGAGCGTTTTACTGATCACATGACCAGGGAGCGTTTTACTGATCACATGACCAGGGAGGGTTTACTGATCACATGACCAGGAAGCGTTTTATTGATCACATGACCAGGAAGCGTTTTAATGATTACATGACCAAGGAGCGTTTTAATGATCACGTGACCAGGGAGCGTTTTATTGATCACATGACCGGTAGCGTTTTATATTTTCTAATAAATAACACATTCCAATCCAGAAAAAAAAGAAGTAAAAAGCATCATATCGATGTTTCATCCAAAAAGACTCTACAGTAATTGGTCTAAATTAATGAAACATAGAAAGTGGCCGAGGAAAATAAACAATTGTATCAATAGATATAGAAATTGCATTGATTTGACTAATTTATGTAAAAATAATATTTTCGTGGGGGATTTATTCTAGTTTTATTCTTCTGTACTCTTACTCAGTGAATTGATTTGTTTACAGTAAAAATGACAAGGTAACTAGACGATTTCTTGATTTATCGCTGAAATATCCACAGAAATATCTATAAAACTAAATTAATTTTAGCGAAAACATATGATGTAGCGGTGTAACTTTATTACCAAGATACTGCACTAATTGGTCTCACAGATAGCAATCACGTATACTTGTGTTAAAACTACAAAAACCTCATCCTGTTTGACCCTTTAATATGAAATAAGATATTTTTCCTGGAATCAGCTGTTCGTTATTATTTATCGTAACCCACAGCAGATAAAGTCCCCACATCAATTGATGTATGGCGATTTAAGGAAACCACAATGAAGATGGGATGTATATACAAATCATTGATATGAAAATCCCCGTTATCTGCTGGAAACGTGTTGGTTATTTATGGTCAATGGTATGTACCATTAAGTCGGATATCACACTAATATTAATGTTAGATACTCTTGACATAAACTCTTTTTGTAAATGTTCAACCTCACAGGTATCAAATAAATAAAATCCTAAACACATGTACATAAAAGTCAGTTGTTGTTATCAAGTATAGAAAATGGTTTATCGAAGGAATAATGCTTCACTACTGCAAGTCTGATTCAGCTCTTGGTAAAACTTTTGTTAAACCTGACGATTTTGTTGTCTTTTAACGAGGAATGGGCAAAGACAATTTTAACATACAAACGCAAAAAAATCTAGATATGACAATTGATAAAGTGGTACTCACACACAAACACACAAGAAAGCCTTTTTATGGGAAGCTCTAGGAGACATATTAGTTTGACACAATAACCACGTGATACTTACACAGACACACAAGAAAGCCTTTTTATGGGAAGCTCTAGGAGACATATTAGTCTGACACGTGAACCATGTGGTACTCACACAGACACACAAGAAAGCCTTTTTATGGGAAGCTCTAGGAGACATATTAGTCTGACACAATAACCATGTGGTACTCACACAGACACACAAGAAAGCCTTTTTATGGGAAGCTCTAGGAGACATATTAGTTTGACACAATAACCACGTGATACTTACACAGATACACAAGAAAGCCTTTTTATGGGAAGCTCTAGGAGACATATTAGTCTGACACAATAACCATGTGGTACTCACACAGACACACAAGAAAGCCTTTTTATGGGAAGCTCTAGGAGACATATTAGTTTGACACAATAACCACGTGATACTTACACACAGACACACAAGAAAGCCTTTTTATGGGAAGCTCTAGGAGACATATTAGTCTGACACAATAACCATGTGATACTCACACAGACACACAAGAAAGCCTTTTTATGGGAAGCTCTAGGAGACATATTAGTCTGACACAATAACCACGTGGTACTCACACAGACACACAAGAAAGCCTTTTTATGGACAGCTCTAAGAGTTGTATTAGTCTAACACAATAACCATGTGGTACTCACACAGACACACAAGAAAGCCTTTTTATGGGAAGCTCTAGGAGACATATTAGTCTGACACAATAACCATGTGGTACTCACACAGACACACAAGAAAGCCTTTTTATGGGAAGCTCTAGGAGACATATTAGTCTGACACAATAACCATGTGGTACTCACACAGACACACAAGAAAGCCTTTTTATGGGAAGCTCTAGGAGACATATTAGTCTGACACAATAACCATGTGGTACTCACACAAACACACAAGAAAGCCTTTTTATGGGAAGCTCTAGGAGACATATTAGTCTGACACAATAACCATGTGATACTTACACAGATACACAAGAAAGCCTTTTTATGGGAAGCTCTAGGAGACATATTAGTCTGACACGTGAACCATGTGATACTTACACAGACACACAAGAAAGCTTTTTTATGGGAAGCTCTAGGAGACATATTAGTCTGACACAATAACCATGTGGTACTCACACAGACACACAAGAAAGCCTTTTTATGGGAAGCTCTAGGAGACATATTAGTCTGACACAATAACCATGTGGTACTCACACAGACACACAAGAAAGCCTTTTTATGGGAAGCTCTAGGAGACATATTAGTTTGACACAATAACCATGTGGTACTCACACAGACACACAAGAAAGCCTTTTTATGGACAGCTCTAGGAGTTGTATTAGTCTGACACAATAACCATGTGGTACTCACACAGACACACAAGAAAGCCTTTTTATGGACAGCTCTAGGAGTTGTATTAGTCTGACACAATAACCATGTGATACTCACACAGACACACAAGAAAGCCTTTTTATGGGAAGCTCTAGGAGACATATTAGTCTGACACAATAACCATGTGGTACTCACACAGACACACAAGAAAGCCTTTTTATGGACAGCTCTAGGAGTTGTATTAGTTTGACACAATAACCATGTGGTACTCACACAGACACACAAGAAAGCCTTTTTATGGGAAGCTCTAGGAGACATATTAGTCTGACACAATAACCATGTGGTACTCACACAGACACACAAGAAAGCCTTTTTATGGACAGCTCTAGGAGTTGTATTAGTCTGACACAATAACCATGTGGTACTCACACAGACACACAAGAAAGCCTTTTTATGGGAAGCTCTTTGAGTTATATTAGTTTGACACAATAACCACGTGATACTTACACAGACACACAAGAAAGCCTTTTTATGGGAAGCTCTAGGAGACATATTAGTCTGACACAATAACCACGTGATACTTACACACAGACAAGAAAGCGTTTTTATGGACAGCTCTTTGAATTATATTAATCTGACACAATACACACACACAGACACACAAGAAAGCTTTTTTATGGACAGCTCTTTGAATTATATTAATCTGACACACAAGACAGCTCTTTGAATTATATTAATCTGACACAATAACCATGTGATACTTACACACAGACACACAAGAAAGCTTTTTTATGGACAGCTCTTTGAATTATATTAATCTGACACAATAACCATGTGATACTTACACACAGACACACAAGAAAGCTTTTTTATGGACAGCTCTTTGAATTATATTAATCTGACACAATAACCATGTGATACTTACACACAGACACACAAGAAAGCTTTTTTATGGACAGCTCTTTGAATTATATTAATCTGACACAATAACCATGTGATACTTACACACAGACACACAAGAAAGCTTTTTTATGGACAGCTCTTTGAATTATATTAATCTGACACAATAACCACGTGATACTTACACACAGACAAGAAAGCGTTTTTTTATGGACAGCTCTATGTTGATATAATTGACTGAAGACGACGTAGCGTTAAGACGAATCTAAGACAAATATTTTGGATTCCAAATAACCATTACAACTGCATGCGGATATGAGGTTCCTTTGTTTTATTCAAGATATAATATTTTAATGCAGTGATTTCTGGGACTCGTGTTTTACTCATTCAGGTTTGGAGTACCCGCTATATCTCTTAGATTTTTCTAAATTTTGGACTGGTGTTCTTGACTCGCCTAAAAATTCCTATAAAATTATAGTGATGTGTAATTTTATTAGATTATTGATAATAATATTGTTTGAGCAGAACTATTTCGTAAGGATGATATCTGATTCAACATACAAACAAGACAAGAAGAAAAGGTTGTAATAATTCCTACTGAAAAGTTAGATAGATTGGATACGTTACCGACCTGGTGAAATGAGGAAGCAATTTGTCCAGGAAGTGGACTAAACACACAGCAGGGAGAATCTTGTCATTACGAAAACGGCAGACTAAAAGTGCTTGACAGCCTTGGAGGCAATTAATTATACGACAATCCACTGATTCCTCGTTAGCGGATATAGATATACAACCGAACCGCAATGCAGCAATTACGGAGTCCGCGAACACTTCTCAACGACGATCAAGTGCTACCTGTGGTGTTTCTAGCCTGTCGTACATAATGTAATGAGAACAAAGGCGAAAGTCTCAAAAATCTCATGAAATAGGCATCACACACACACACACACACAATGAGAAATCCTGAACTTGATCTCAGGACACTTGTGTAAAACGTCACACAAAACACTGTTAAATACCACAAACCTAAGGGGAATGGTATTACAACCTTTCTACGATAAGAACGTAGCTCAAACGCAAGATGGCAGGATGTTTGGAATGAAAAGAAGAGACTGAACAGGGTTTCTCTCTATTGATAGTCCGAGAGCCGGAAGCAGTGAAGAAACAGGAAA